TTACACATTAAATTTTTGAATTAATTATAGATATTTCCTTTTTGACCTGAGGCTTTGTTTCTTGCAGAGGTCAGCAATCAGATGCTAGAATTGTATGAACAAAATAGAATACCACCTTCTCAGGCTAGTGAAGCTGAAGGGAGCGCTGGAGGCAGTCAACGACCTCCATCAAAAGCTCCTGTGAAAGAAGAGCACGTCACTAGTCACAATAATTCTCATGGTGTGGTGGCTACTTCAAAGGCAGGAACCTCCAAGGCAGCATTGGCGAGGCCATTTCCTGAGCCGTCGCATGCAGATAATCATGGTGGGCTACCAAGAACCACCCACACTCAAGACAATGACCGTGGAAACATTGAAATGAAAAGCATTCAAGATCACGAGGGAGATGATAATATTAATGTCTCCCAACACCATCAACGAGAGCGGGAGATCCTTGATGAAGATCGAGGAGAGAGTTTTGGGAGAACTGATACGAGGGATACAGTGGAGCTGAAGGATAAATACAGTAGCAGAAATTTGGCCCACAAGGATGGTACAGTTTCTCAGTCACCTCAAGATGCTATAAAAAAGATAGACAAAGAGAAGGTTAAAGCAGCTCTTGAACGGAGGAAAGCCCGTGGAGACATGAATCGAAAAACAGACCCAATGGACGAGCTCGAGAGAGAACTGGAGGATGTTGAATTGCCTGGTGAGAGTGAGAAGATTAAGCGAGATAGAAAACAGAGCTGGTCCAAACCATCAGATAAATCAGAGCACGAGAAATATCGTCGTGCATCTGGAGATGGGCATGCAGATGATTTTCACTCTGTAGAAGAAGGGGAAGTCGAACCATTCGATGATGTCGACAGGGGATATCAGTCAGTCACCGAGGTCAGCCGCTCGTAAGAGGAAGGCCATTAGCCCCTTGGACAAGAAAATGGACGGAAAGCTGCGAAATGATTACATGACAGGGTCTTGTACTCTCAACAATGACTGACCGGGCAAGTTTCTATATATCGAAAGAAAAGGATAGGACTTCTTTTTCAGTTCAGTCATTGGTATTGATTGCCATATCTGGTCTTCTCTTCTCATTTTAAGTTCAGAAATATTTGTTTAGGATCCATGTGCTGTAATGATCCAAGTTGTTGGACATATTTGAAAATGATTAAAAGAAAAAATTACAAAATATTAGTTTCGGGGGTCTTGGAATAATTATCATTACATAGATTACATCCAACAACTAAATGTCGACATTACATAGATTTTCCCAGTAACTTC